CTCTAACTCTAACTCTAACTCTAACTCTAACTCTAACTCTAACTCTATGTCAGGATTCTGGCACTTAACCCCAATGAAATCCTGAGTCTCGAACCAAACTTCCAAAACTTCAAAAGGATTTATTGGGAGTTAACAGGTCCGGCACTGCCTGGGTGTAGCCGACTCTGAGATACATAATTCACTGTTCACCCTTGACCCTGATCTTTTTAGAGTTGAAACTCTAGCTCTAACTCTAAGACCGGGCAGGGCATGGTTTTGCATGCTGGCTGCATCCTGCAGATGGGGTTTCGCTTGCTTGCCAGGCCTGGTTTCTGGCATGCCACGATGCTGGTCTATGGACCTGGGGTTGGGAACCCTTTTTCTAAGATGCCTCCAAGGCAATACTTCTCAACCTTGGCAACTTTAAGGTTTATGGACTTGAATTCCCAGAATTTAGATTCCCAATCTGGATTTTACAGACTTCAGTAAGCCCACCTGGCAAAGATTGCAATATCAGGAATGATTCGCCTAATAACAGCCTAAATAGCAATGGAAATCCAGGCCCCAAATAAGGTTGTCAGTTGAGGGTTTACCTGTAATTTCTTTACTAGGCTGGTATATAGCTCCAATTGTTGACTGACTCGACAGCAGTTTACAATTTTTACGTGTGCCAAAACCGGGTTTAAAATCGCTAATGGAACTAAAGAAATAAACATACATCAAATCTACAAATTCATCACACTCACCGAGATGTTCAGCAAGCGGAAAAATCCATATCGTCATAAATCAATGTAATGGGTGGTGTTTTTTTTTTTCTTCAGCCATACTTTCTAAAGGTTGCCGTGTCTGGCCTGAAACTGCCACCAGTCCAATCAACCGGGTTAAATGGTTTTATTGATGGTCTCATTTAGGAGAAGACCACCCTTTTTTGGTGAACTGTGACTGGCCTTGGAATATTGGAACCAAAGTGGTTGCCTCATCAGCAGACTTTAGACTAGGTCAAAGTGCAAAGCGCAACAATTCCTCCATGAAATGAAACCAATATTCCAGAAAGGTAAGCAGGGGATATGTGATGGTGCTTTTACAGGTAGTCCTCGAGTTACGACCGCAATGGAGCCCAAAATGTCTGTTGCTAAGTGAAACGCTTGTTAAGTGAGTTTGTCCCATATTGCAACTTTTCTTGGCGCATTTGTTAAGCGAACCACTGCAGTTGTTAAATTAGTAACACGACTGTTAAGTGAATCTGGTTTCCCCATATGATGGCCCGGGGTGTGGCACAAAGCCAACACAGTCAAATAATCGAGAAGAGTCCCTTTATTATTTCCAACTTTGCCCCCAAACTCCTGGTTACCTTCAGCTGGAGAAAAACTTTCCCCCCCATAAGCCATGCAAGCCACGTTGCTCCCTTCTCCATTCCTCTCTGCGTGCCCTAGGACGAAGAGGGAACGGGCCTGGGTCTTCCTCCGAATTCCCTCTCCCTTGTTCTCCCTCTCCCTTGTTCTACCTCTCCCCTGCTCTGCCCAGCCGGACTTTGCCCTTTCCCATTTTCTTCCACAGCCAACGGAGCCACACTCCCACTCCCTGTCAGCTGCTCAGCCTCCTCCTCCTCCTCCGAATCAGATCCCGACAGGGGCATGAAACAAGGTCACAAAAAGGTGATTGATCACATGATCCCAGGACAGAGCCACCGTCATCAATGTGAATTGAGAGCCAAGCACCTGAATTTTAATCACGTGACCATGGGGATAATGTGCAAAACTTGCAAGACCTGGTTGAAGAATTGGCAAGCGCGATGGTCAGCGCACCCATGGAGAGGGACCCGCTCACGACTGGCGCAACCCAGAAACTATTCTCTCTCTCTCTCTCTCTCTTCATTTTGTCTGAAGTGGTGTAGGGTTTCCTGCCTAAGCAAGGGGTTGGACTAGAAAACCTCCAAGGTCCCTTCCACTGCTGTTCTATTCTATTCTATTCTATTCTATTCTATTCTATTCTATTCTATTCTGTTCTGTTCTGTTCTGTTCTGTTCTATTCCATCCCATCCCAGTCCATTCCATTCCATTCCATTCCAGTCCAGTCCAGTCCAGTCCAGTCCATCCCAATATCTCCGCCCGCTCTTCCCCCTTTCTCCTCTTCTTCTTCCTCCCTTCCTCTCCCCCCCACCAAATTTGCACCGCCTCTCGATGGAAGACGCGAGAGCTGCCAACTCGCACGTCTTCCTCACCGGAGCCGCCGCTGGTTCGCAAAGGCTCCGGCTGGGCAGGATCAGCTGCTTGGGGGCGGGGGGGGGGGCAGTGACGTCACGGAGCTCCAGCCAGCACCACGTTCCATCGAGGCGAGCGCGTGCTCCGCGGCGAGCACATGGGAAACAAGCTTGCGCGAGCCGAGCCTTCTCTTGCTCGCTCGCTGCAAGGAACTTGCGGCCTGCTTGGCGGCCCTTTCTCTCCCTCCCGTGGGAGGGGGGGGGGTTAATTTTAAATCTATTTTTTATTCTTTGAATTCTTCTTCTTCTTCATCCTCATCGCCTTGGATGCTTCTTTGATTTTTTTTTGTTTTGTTTTTGGGAGAGGGGGGAGAAGCGAAGGAAAAAATAAAAATAAAATAAAGCCCGATCGAGACGGCGAAAGAACTTTGCAAAGGCTTTTCCTCTCTCTCCCCCCCCCCCCTCCCCAACTGTTTATGGGGAAGGGGAACTTGGACGCCGGGCCTTCTTGGGAAGGAAGGAAGGAAGGGAAGGATGCATGCATGGTAAGTCAGCGAGATCGGAGTGGGGGAAGGGGGCAGACGAAGAAGAAAGCACGTGGGGGTGTGTGGAAGAGGGAGGTGTGCGTGGGGCTGGCGGGGGGGGGGGGGGGGGGGGGGGGGGGGGGGGGGCCGGGCGGGGCGGGGGGGGGGGGGGGGGGGGGGAGGAAGTGGGACGGAGATCCTCTTGCGATCCATCCGCCGACACACGCGCTGCTCCTGCTCGGGTAGTGGACGTGGGTCTGTCCTACTTGGCATAGGCAACCCCATCGGGGCCGCCGAAGCCCTTTTCCAAGGGGAAGAGGATACCTCCCCTCTCCACCCCCCCTTCCCCCACCCCAGATCGGCGTTGAGACCGTTTTTAAGAGGGTCCCGGAGGTCTGCAACCCCCACCCCCACCCCTCAAATCTCCCTCCTTCGTTACAATGTGGGAGGTGGGGGGGAGTGAGGTGAAGGGATGGAAAGACGGCCGTCGGATCCCCCTGGCCCATTCCAACTCTTTCGCCCCTCCCCTCAAATCTATTCCACTCCTTCCCCCCCCCC